GAGGAGGAGGAGGAAGAGGATGATGATGATGATGATGATGATGATGATGATGATGATGATGATGATGATGATGATAATCCCAATAACGCGGAAAGATTATGTGCCACAGAATGTGTTTGTTTCTAGTTTGATTTTTTTTAAACAACACGTTGGCGGGTGCTCTGATGTGGTTTTGCTTCTTCCTTCCTATCAAACCTCTACCGTCGTTACCTCTTTTGCTTTCTTTACACTGTTATTTTGGCGGTGTTTACTTACAGGAAGTACCCAAATTAAGGGGATCAGTTATGTTCTTTGTGTGTTACTCTCTAGTAACACCTCTAATCTTCGGCACTTATAAGACCTATTTTGTGCTAACTAGAGCCGTACAACTTTGACTAAAACTAAAACTAAACCGTGGGTGGTTGGCGGGTGCTCTGGTGTGGTTTGCTTCTTTTTTCCTGTAAAAAATCTATCGACATCCTTTTCTCCCCGTCTTCTTTTTTTATGTTTGTTACTCTCTTGTAACACCTCTAATCTTCTGGCGCTCATATGACTTTGTGCAGTTGCGAGCGCCATAAAACCTCTACTAAAGCTAAAAAACTAAAAATAGGACCTATTAACTGTGCTATGAGAGCCGTACTACTCTGACTAAAACTAAATCTAAACCGGAGGAACAAACGAAGTTTCAAGGGTTGCTCAAAGGGGTGACCCACGTGTCATTTAACCGTATCCCTGCGCCCTGAGGTCATGTTGTACCCCTGAGGTTGTATTCTTCACATTTTAGAATATAAAAATTATACTTCTAGTACGAATATCTCTTTGAAACTTTCAGTATTGCTCAGAATTTTGACAGACTCGTATGCACAGCGTACAGATCGGATTAACAGGTAAATTTCCTCTTTGGAAAGTGGTGGCACCGAGTTCCCCACGTCGTATGGATACGATAGTAAAACACGACGTACGGATAGGGTTAAAAGCTTTCTGGAGACTTACCGCCTTTCTGAGCCAAGCTGTAGCCGGAACATAACTGCAAAGTGCAGAGCCCAATCTGGAGAACAAAAGAAACAGAAATTGTTATAGTAAGTGTTTTACAGCACTTGCAAGTTGCAACACAATACGGTCATATGAGAGCCGAAGATCAAAGGTGTTACAAGAGAGTAACAAGCACAAAAAAGGAGGGGAGATAAGGACGATAGATGTTTGATAAAAGGAAAGAAGGAGCAAACCACACCAGAGCACCCGCAAAGAAAAGTAGAAATGAGTTGATTCGATAAGTTCACCTGTTGGTAGGTCTGAGTTCCAATCTCAGTCTTTCACTTTCTTTCTTTTTCTGTCTACTCTCTCTCTCTCTCTCTCTCTCTCTCTCTCTCT